ACTTATTTCATAGCCAATAACTCCATCGTCCTAAGTTCTACCAAGCTAATTAAATCCCATCAAGCTAAACTCTGTCAGGCGTTGGCCCTGTTAACATTTTAGAAGAAGAAATAATACAACGGAACGCGAAAGCAGAAGCGGTATTCAGGCGGAATTCCAATGAAATGTGGAACGTCGAATAAAAACCTTTTGGACCGCGCGATTGTTTCACGCGAAACGAGATAAACGTGTTATAAATTAAAAACAGCAATTACAACCTTTGCTTTGTCACCGCAACTGGAAAATGTTTAATACCGGCCCGCGACATTTCGGTTCGTGTGGCAATCGGGTCTTTTCGTGCTAGTTTGTCCCCAAAAGAGAAAAAAGAGAGAGAGAGAAAAAAATAATAAAGAAGAAAAACGAGGCGAAGTACGAGATCGTAGAAATTAGGACGAAATGCGCGTTAAACAAGGCGTCGGACCACGAAGGTTTAACCAAGTTGGCATCGAAGAGATGTTCCCTGGTTTTTTCAAATTGTGTAATCACCGCGGCGGAGTCCAGAAGGTTGAACAATGAACTTCGACCACGACACCACAGCTCGAAAGTACAAAGTGACAAGTTGAATTGAAAAGATCGCAGAATGATAGAGAGATCTCCATTTAACAGTAGTATTCAATATTGTCCGCGATGATTTCGTAAAAATTTCTCATTAGTTTGCACGCGTTGATAAAATTCACGCCATTGGGAATTAAAGCGTTCCCAGTTATATAAACTCGTCGCCGCGTGTCGCTTTTGTTCCCGATATTCTTTCCTTTTTATAAATAATACCGCCGAGATTTACGCACGCGGGGCTGAAATTCTGTAATTCAGGTAAACAGAATAAAGTATCGCGTTGCGTATCCAATATTTGCGAAGAAGTTTCGTGGAAATCGTCGGGGCGTGCGCTCTTCAGGGTGAGCATCTGCGTGTCGCTTCTTATAACTGCAAATGGTCCCTGCGTGTTCCTCGGCTGACCTCCAACCGTTAATTATTCGAGGCCCGTGATTTTAGTATCGCGAAAAATCTAATAAGCTGGTTTTCTTTCATTTCGATGCCTATTTATATCGTGATTTACGTCAGCACGTTATTTATCGCTCAATTCCCCAACAATTTGAAAGTTACGCTTATCAACGAACTCTTTTGCTCGATATTAACAGTTGTAAACGACGAAACCACGATTACCAGAGACGAATCTTTTTATTACTCCGGAGCAGTAGTTTGCCACTATTCGTGGCAATTAGCGGAAAGAAATTCTTCGAACGAGTCGAAGCAAAGGCTTTTAGAAACTAAAAAGGGGAACGTACGAGTGCGAATGTCAAGTGATGTAAGTTACGCATAATGTCGATGTGACATTTCGTAGCAATTTTTTTTATTAAAAACGAAAAAAAAAAGAAGAAAAAGAAAACTTACGAAGATTTAGAGAAAGACGAGCGTTTCTGCGTTCAGCCGTGTTTCGCTTAATCGATACGGAAATCGCGTGATTTCGTAAGAGATTGCGCGAGATAGGCTTATTACAACGCAGGGAAAGCTGTTTGCATGATAAATCAAACGTTCGCGACGTTCTTGACCGCTCTCTCAGCCGAACACGAGATAATTTTTAATCATAAACGATTGACTTTCTTTTTCTTTTTCGCAACGTAACATTGTGATAATTGCACGCGTCTAGTTTCCATGAAACAATTATTTATGCGATATATTTGGATCGCAATTAGCGTGCGTTTGACGTTTAAAATGCAGTAGAAATTACGCAGCAATGCGTTACATGAACGACGGGCACGAGTGTGTCGAGCCATAATTAAGCAATTACATAACGAGAGACATATGATAACGTGTAATGTCCGATGACCTAACTGTTGGGTGAGAATTTATCGTAGCTAGGTAAAACCAATTGATTACGAGTACGGTCGAACGAGAACGAGAACTTTCATTTGATTAACAAACTGTCCAGCAACGAGTGAAATTTTTTTTATTGGCCAAGCCAGTAACAGTTGGCGAGTTCCGTTTCGATACGTTTCCGAAATTTGATAAAATTTATTGGACAAGTATCCGGCTATTTCAACTGGTTCATTTATCCCGTTGTAAGTCGAAGACGAGAAGAATTAATGAGAAGGAGAGGGGGGGGGGACTCATGAAACATTTACAACTTTTCATTAAAACGGGCAAACTCGCGGAAGAAAATTGTTCAAAGCCGACAGCCGAGACTATCTTTAAAGAGTGGACGTTGGTCATCGTTCTCTATATTCTCTCTCTCTCTCTTCTTCTTTTCCTCAGGAAAACCAATCCTGTAGAATCGATAACATTATTTGCAGCACACTTCAAACTAATAGGGACTCTCGTGATACTATTATTTCACCTTTCCCCTATCTGATTCTAGCGTACGGTAGGTTTCCTTTTTCTGATGCGCCGTTTGATTAGAAAAACGAAAGGACTTCGATATGAAAATACCAAATGGATAGTTTCATATCGTTTCAACGCGACGACGTTGGGAATTGGGAATGACTCGGGAACGAACGGTAAGATGATAATCAGGATAGTCGCGCGAGAACACCAACACGACTTGTCTTTGAAAAAATCGTCCAAGTGTTCGAGAGATGTAATTTGACGAATAAAACG